TATGGAGATAAGAAATTGATTTACATAAAAGAAGAGTTTAGCAGTGCTTATCCTGGGAGTAGAGCTAAAAAATTGGCATTTTCTTAAGAGTATTTTTCTTGAATAATAACTTTTACTGCCTTTCCAGATTCTATTATTATAAAATTTCTGTTTAAATATAAAACTTGTATTCTCTTTAAATGCAGTTCCTAACACCTTTCCTTAGATTCAGCAGTAAATCTAAAAAATCTCTAAAAAAAGGAAGACAAACTCAAAGACGAAACTACAAATAAAATATACATTTTATTCTAAACAAACTAAATATAATTTTTATCAAAAATCTTAAAACACTTTAAATCCCATAATTTATGCACACAAACACTCCTCTTTTTCTCTTTTAATAATTTCCATAAAAAGCTCAATAAATTTGGGAAAATAAAGAGGCTTTGAGACTTTTTCACGTAGCACACAATGATGATTGAAAACGGGTGTCAAGTAAATTTTCGTTATTCAAGTGAATTGCCAATGATGCATGACAATGATTTCCATTTTTTCTTGGAATGCCAAAGTCTGTTTAATTTACATAATTCCCAAATATTTACATGTCACCTAGAAATGTTCTCTGCGAGGAAAGCAAATGAAAATACCAAGAAAACAAGCTCAGAAAAAATCAAATCAATCATTCGAGCGGTGTAATTTCTAATAAAGAAGTAGGCAGAGAAGTAGGTTTTCCGTCTAGCCAAGGTCATGAAAAGCAAGCCTGCCACATTGCGTATGAGTAATTTATAGGTTCTTGTTAGTCTTGTCTTGTCTTCCCTTGTCCCTTTTCACTGAGCTTTCATTCAGCTTCATTTGGGTCTAGACTTATTGTTTTTGTTTGCAAAAACTCTGGCTCGTGTTGTTTCGTACTTTTCGTACTCGATACTTTTTGTGGGTCAAACCACAAAAATGACGGCGGCGGCTGCGGTAGTGATGGCGACACGAGTCTTCTTTCCTTGCCATCATCTTGCCTTTTAAGGAGGTTCCTTCAATCTATTTTATGATACCCTCTATATGCAGGGATGTATCCTCTTTGGGGTTTTTGGCGAGGTTGCGAGGTCTTCTCGACCGCAATGTCGTTATTTATGTGCATGTGGCTTTTGTTTCATTTTGCCTCTTTGCGCGCCCAGCTGATATTTGAAAAGGGTCCTGGCCTGCTGGTTTTGTTTTCCTGCTGGTTGGTTGGTTTGTTGGCTGCCTGGCTGTAACCTTGTTGTTATTGCTATTCGGATGACTGGCAACATGGCGGATGGTTGATTTGTTTGTTGGTTAAAGATGGCGAGCAATGAGCTGATTTTAAATGAATTTAAATTTGTTTTCGGTTTTATTTAATATTTTAAATGGTAATTTTTGTGGGAATTTAAAGCTAAAGCTTAAATTATATTTTAATTAATTATTAATTTAAGTTTATATCTTAGTTTAAAGTTAAACATGCTTGTTAGCAGCTTTATAATTTAACATTGAAGTATTTTCCTGTTCCCTTTAAACGAATATGTTGGCCCATGTCCGTGTAAACCACGAATTATTTTGGCTCCGAATGGCATTGCCACAAACCGCAGGTATTGCAAACCCATGGCCTGCCATCAAAATGGTTACCACGCAGAATGTTGTTTTGCCTGATTTGCCTAGTTATCGTTAGCAGTGACTAACACAGACACACACACACACACACTCGTAAATATGCTTTCTAATTTTATACATTTATTAGTTTTGGTTTTTACACATTTCATGTTTCGTTAGGTTGAAAAGTTATAACTAGAAAGAGGTGGTTCTTGTTGGGGTTGAATTAAATGAATGTCAGGATTATGTTTCTGATTTTATGTGAGTTTTCTCAATGATTTTCCAGTTTAACTATATCTCTTCTTGATTTGTAACTAACTTTAGATCATATTTTCCTTGTAAATACCGTTTTTCCTTTTACCATTGCCCAAAAAGAGGCTTTCCATGTTTTACAATCTTCACCAAATTCGTTGGATTCATGCTGCCTCATTATCGCCAGCGTTTCATCCCCACTAAATGTAAAATGTAAACGTTTTCCTAAAGGAACTCCCTGCGTTTGTCCCCCACTCCCCCTCCTTTTATATTTGCCAACTGCGCTTAAGCTGCATAATAATAAACTGCAAAGCAGCGGCAACAACAAGGATTGCTAAATGTGCAACTGCAACAGGGACAACAACAACAGCAACAACAACAAGGGGCAGGATAATACAAGCCAAAGCAGTGGAAATCCTGGCGTAATCGTGGCGTTCACTGCTGGCAGGCAACAGCAACAGAAACTGCAACACTAACACACTATGCCGTGTGGAAAATATTTATGAGCTCGGTTTTCACGCCAAATGCGTTCTTTAAAATGCTTCACTCCATATAGAGAAAACCAACACACACCCACACACACTATACTAGTACATTGCTTTCCATTTCCCCTTTGAATTTCCCTTTGCTTACACCTCGCGTTGCCATTTTCCGCGACATTTTCACAACCGCTTGCATTGCTTGTTGCACTTTGTCGGTGTGTGTGTGTGTGTGTGTGTGCTTGTGTATTTATGTGCCTATGTGTGGGTTAAGCAATGCACTAAAATGTTTATGTGTTTGTGAGCGTTGCAAGCCGACAAGCGACGGCAACAAGAACAAACTGCGACAACAGCAACACCATCAGTTTCTACACCCTACCAACTGGGTTTTCTGTAAGCCGCTTTCAAGGCAGTCAATCGAAATGTATTTTATCCCAATAATGGTAGTTAAATATAGTTTGATACACCCCATATCCAAGTAATCCAATAATATCATTCAGTTTGCAATTTAAAGTTTATCTTTTAGCGATTGGATTTTGTACTTTTTTATAGGCTGAATTCAATTTGGAATTGAACAAAGTTTGGTAAACATTTTTACTGTAATGCTGTTGTTTGGTGAGGATTTATTGGTATTTTAATGCATTGAAATTTAAGTCATATAAAAGCTCTTAAAAATACTAAAATTTAGTCACTTTAAGCTAAAATGTTGAATTCTAAACACAAAATAAAAATCTAAGACATTTATAAAACTATAGCATACTTTTATGCGCATATTTATGAACCAAATGGCTAGGAACAGTTCTTATTATTATTATTTATTTAAAATAATGTCAAAAAAGGTTTAAAAATAGTTTAAATTTTATATATATTTCTTACAATATTATTCCTAAATATTCATTTAAAACAGATATTTAGACAGTTAGGTTTAGATTTTGAGTTTATTTTCCGGAATGAGAAAAGTTTTGTAAAAATGTTTGATTGGTTCCAAGAAAAGTAAGTTATTTGGTTTATAGTTTTGCTCAGAAGAAAAGTCAATTCTTTTTATTATTCTCAAGAAAAAAAAGTATTAGCTTTTTTTTAAATATTTTACATAAACTTTACATTTTAGTTTCTCAGCTTTACCTAATACTCTCAAGCAGCGTATCCACAGTTTACCTTTCATCCCAGCTTTCCTCTTTTCCCTTAACCCATCGGCAACATTTGAGCCTTTCCACCTGGCTTTCTAGCCCAGTTGCAAGCCATTACGGCGACTGTCCCCTTTATATGCTAATTTGGTTCAGCGCATTTTATGTGTACCTTACCTACGCGTATATCTGGCTCTATATATATGTGCACGTATATCCTGGAAAACAGCAGGCGGTGACAGGACACAGTCGAGGGTTGGCCAGAGAGTGCAGCTGCAGCATGATTTTGCTGCTGTCCCTGCGATGCTGCTGATGGTGCACGTTCGTTTGAAGTTGCCTTTTGTCGTTGTCATAATTAAAACGCGCTGCATAATTGCCAAACAAAGGCTGTGTCCTGTTCCCGGGAAAATACTGTCCTGCAATCTCAGTTCGGTATTTGAAAAGTGCAACTGGACATTTTTCGCTGATGGAAACTGATCAAATATTATATTAATACCCCAAAAACTAAGCACTAATACTGATACTTTCATATTGATTTTTCCTGCTCCCTAAAATGGAACCGAAACTCTGGAAACTCTCATTTAAAAAGCAATGCATTTATTTCACAAAAATAAATAGAAAGCAAACATATTTGATAGTTAGAGAGATTCCATTTGCTTTCTTAACTAGAAGCCTCACTCAATTTGGCCATCTGTATGCGAACCCACTCGCCACTATGCATATCTATGTATTTATTTAAAATTTTCCGCTCTTTTTGCTGCATTCAGAACGAAACACAACAACAACAAAAACAGAAACAGAAAAACAAGGAAAAACCATGAAAAACCAGGCAAATTTGAAAAGTTTCGATAAGGCTGTCGTTTATGCAGGTTTTTGGGGGGACATTTTGGGTTGGTTGGCGATGCCTGATTCCCGTATATTGGAGTCATAAAGTGTATGACCAAAGTGCACCCACACCAAGGTGTGCTACACACACACACACACATGTGCACTCTTACTCACACGTATTTGTGGTTTCAATAATCAATGAGTTGATTTTATGAAATTCCACCAACCCAGCTCATGGCATTTTGGGATGTGACACGCCCATCCTTGCACCACTTCATTTTGTGGGTCGCACTTGCATGTACGTAACACCACATCTGTCCATGTCTGTGTGGGTGTGTAAAATTTTATTAACGAGAATTTTGGAATTTCTGCACAAATATCACATTCGAGAGAGAGGACAGCAGGAGGGCAAAAGGTTAAAAGGAAAACAAAACATAGACCAGAGGCTTTTTGTGGTCCTGGTCGGTCACAGGCTGCGTGTTGATTGCCATTGGCCGGCCGCGCTCTTCCCCGAAAAGGCCAAATGAATTTTAATTAATTTTTTAATTAATTCTTCGTAACCACCAGGCGTAGGTCATCCTACCCTCTAGCCTCTTACTCAGCCACAAATTGATAAGGCTGATAAAACGAAAACCACACAAATTTCTATCTGTGGGCAAATTCCCTTCATTTCTATTCTTTGTAGACCATATCTTGGCCTGGTTCTCATTTTCATGTCTTTTGTTTTGTTTTTTTGCAGAAATACGGTTTTTAATTTAAGCATACATGATCTCGTCGAGCAGCAGCGCTTGGTTTGGACGTCGCCGGAGGATGATACCAAAATGTGTCTCGTCAAGGGCAAGGATGAGGTGAGTTGAGAATGGCATTTAATTTGGAAACTTCATTTGGGGTTTTGGGTTTTTGATTTTTGGGAAAAAAAGTTAACATTTTAACAATATTAAGTCTAATTTTTATGTTAAGTTTAAAGGTTGGCAGTAAGGCATTAACTGAAAGACTTTGAAGCAAAAACTAAGTGTCTTAAAAATTGAAAGAATTTAATTTTATATAAGTTGAGACTTTTGTTTCTATGTTTAGAGATCTATGAGCTGTTAAAACTGTGAAAACCTTCTCAAAGTTAGTTTTCCTTTTTCAAAATTCAGAATCTCTACAAAATCAATCAATATTTTTACCTTAAGTTTAGCCTTTTAAGTTTGCACAAAAAGTTTACTTTTGCAACTGATAAGCCAGCTGAGAAAGCAATAATAGTAAGTTGAGAAAGTAAAACAGCAACCATCTAACTTGAAAACTAAATAAAACTTATTTTCTGGTTATTTTATTTAATAAATTTAAATACTTTCCAACACAGCTAAACAAAAAGGAACTTAAAGTTTAGTTTTCCCTTTACAAAAAAAAAAAAAAATTTTTAAAAAAAAAAAAAAAAAAATATTTAAAAAAAAAAATAGGTTTTTAAAGTTTAAGTTTTCTCTTTTTACGAAAGTTTAAAAAAAATGCCCTTTTATTTCATAAATTTAAATTAGAACACCAAAAAAAAGACCTTTTAATGCCTAAGAAAAACTTTCAATAGGTTTATATTCACAATTTTATAAGTTACCAAGACAGCAATAACCTTTGTTTTATTAAAAACTCATCTTAAAACTAAACAAAAATCACTCTCAGGCCATTTTATTTCACAAAATTTACTAATTTCCCAGAAAACTTAACAAAAAAGAGAACACAAAGTTTAGTTTTTCCTTTTACAAAATCCATGATGCATGGAAAATCGCTGACACCTGAAATAATATTTTCGTGTCACTTAGTAAACCAAAGAACACATTTTATTTCATTTGCTGCCTTTTGTTGTTTGTAAACTTTTCTAGCACTTTTGGCCTAATGGCCTTGCAATTTCCATTTCCATTCCTATTTCCATTTCGATTTCAACTTTGGCTGTTGCTTCCGTTTGCCAGAGAAATGCAAAAACAAGGCAATAAAGTGTTTCTCTGTTTCTCGCCATCTATCTTAACTTTTTTTTTTTTGTTCTTCGCGCTAAAAACATGGAGAAAAACTATGAAGAAGAAGAGGAAGAAAACTACGACATACAAGAAGAAAATTGATTTATGCAACTTTTTGTTCTCAGTTTTTCTTTTTTGCGGCTAAGAAATCAGGGAAATTTATTGAAAACTCTTCACCACTGCAGTTGACCTATTAAGAAAATGCCATTGGAGCATGGTGATCGGGGTAAATTGAGTCAAGAAGAGGAGAAGCAAATCAAAGCCTGAAAGCAAACTTTTTACCCTAATCGAAATGCCAAATATTTTGGCTTTCAAATTGTCTTTGTTTCTGGGCTTTTTCGTTTCGCCATCCGTTTCCGTTCAACTAGGCCAAATAGTTTTCCTAAAACACTCTCTATAAAAGGGGAATAAAGTGTAAGTTTAAGTGGCTTAAATAAGTAATAAGCTTGTAAAGTCAGTCACTGTTTTAAGGTTTTTAAATATTTATTAGAAATAATTAAGGCTATGCCAATGACATTCTGAAGGCAACTTTTAACTTCCAAATTAAAAATCTATCAAAAAAATCAACAACTTGAATATTTTTAGAATGAGCTTTCTTAAGCTAACATCTTGTTAATTTTTATAATGGAAACCTACTTAAGTTCTATAATTAAGTTAATTTATAATACGAATCACGAACTTTCAAATCATTTTCCAACCCAAATTCCATCTGCCCTTTGAGCATTTCCTCCGACCTTTTTGTGCATGCCCAAGTGCACTTCAAGTTTTGGCTTTTTGCTCACGTAATTAGCCAACACTTGTTGGCCAGCCAGGCCAGCAGGAGCTACAAAAATAAGGCAAGCCCCAGAACATTAGCAGGTGTAATTTGTTGAACTCAATTTGCTTGTCAGGGGGCTAGAAGAGGGTCACTACTATATATGTCTGCATAGCATAGGGAGTGGGTCGCGTTATTTATGGCATCAGAAAAACAAAAAAAAGAAAAAGGTAAGAAAAGCAAGCAAAGTTTCTTCGGAGTTCTAGCCATGGCGTGCGGCAATGCCATTTCCCACAAAAGGTTTTTACCTCTAAAAATAAATTGCAATTGTTCGGCGTCGTCTGGCTAACAGGGAGAAACGAAAAGAAAAGTTCAAAATTTACAATTTTAATTAACCGGCATTTTGGCCACTAATTTGGATGCGAAAACGTCAAGTTAATCAAGTTGATAATCAGGCAAAAGGACCAACGACACAAAAGCCTGCAATCTTTTTTATAATGCAGAATGCATTTAAGGCATAGTTTCTAGACACGCTAGAAAAAGTTAATCAGAAAATCGGAATAAAGTTGGCTTTGGCGAACTCCGTTTGAGTTAAAGTCATATACCCTTTGGGTAACCCTTAGTTTTATATGTTAACCTTTGTCCTTTGCCCAGTTTGCCCTTCAGTGAGGTGTAAAATGTTTAATTAATTGATTTATTCGTGAAAATTTGATTAAAACTGTGACTCTAGGGTGAAAATGAACAGTCATCATATAAAAATTCAGTCCATCCATGGGTGATTTATAAAATATTCAAAAGCGGCCATCGATTGAAAATCGGAACAACATAAAAGACAAATATTTTTTTGTTTAAGTTACTGAGTGAAGGGAAAACAAGGACAGCAAATAAATCAAAGTTTTTGGTTTTCCAATTTGTGTATTTAAAGGCAGTTAAGTTTATTCAGTGAGCAGAAATTTAATCCACTTTTATGCTATCATTTTCCATTTTGATTCAAGAACTTAAACATGTAGTCTTTCCCATATAAAACTCCTTGTAATATAATCATATCAAGATGGTTGTTATCCTCATTAAGTAGAACTATGAACTTAATCATCAGAAAAGCCTTTCAGCATCACTCACATTGGCATTCGGTCTTCTCTTGTTTCCTCATTAAACGTTCGATTTGGTTTGCAAATGGCTTTTGCACAGAATGAGAGACTGGATTGCAAGCAGCCCATTGTTCGATTGGAAAATGCTGTTGAAATTATGCGGGGTTGGCCAACACTTTGGCCATCTTCTTTGTCTGCGCCCGGATCCATGGAGAAGAGTGTTTTCTGAATACCTTTCGGTTTAACCTGGCTCAATCCCTCTTTTCACACAGCTCGTTCAAGCAACTTTTTCCGATGATTTTCAAGCTAATTGGGACATGTCTTCGTTAAACCTTTAAATCATGATTAGTTTTAATACAACCGTTTGAATGTTTCGCTTAAAGTTGAACGAAAAATGAAACTTTGTTAAAGATAAAGTCTTATTTGACAGGGGCAAGTCAGTGAAAGGACCAAAGGTCTGGTCATGAAAAACTTTCATTGTTCATTGTCAATGGAAAGAAAACTTTGAAAGGCAAAAGCCAGAGAATATTTTTGACTGCTGCCAAAAATGGAACGCCTCAAGGTAGGCAACAATTTCGTTAATGATGCTAAAACACGACAAGCCGAAGAATGAAGGAGAATTTCAAGCCTTAAAAATCATTTCACTTTGTAATTTTTGAACATGAAATATGACTGACAGGACAGCCAGAGGGCAAACACAGAATTTCAACCCCTGAAAATCATCTCTCAGTCACAAATTTTACATTTTAGAACCAAAATCAATAATAATTTTTTGAATTTCACACTTAAAACTTCACAAAAATTGTGGTTAAAATCTGAATAATTGTTGTTTGTAGGTAGTAGAAGGTGGGGGAACATGTTTTTTTGAACTGAAATGAAGAATTATTTATTAACCAAACAGCAAATAGCCAATGGCTGCCGCAATGTTGCGAAAGCAAATTAATAAATTTCACAGTTAATTGCATTCTAAACATTGTCCGTCTATGTCTGATATGCGTGTTAATTACAAGGGAAATAATGAAAACTACAACCACACCCCACCAACCCTCAGACTTTGTGTAATTGTTTTGTTAATTTATTTTAATTTATGTCCTTACATTTTAGCCACACAAAACATGGCCAGAACATGTTGAATATTTCTTGACAATAAACTAAATTAAATGGAAAAGGCACTCAAGGCAGGGGAAAGGGCAGTTTAAATTCTTAATCTCAATTTGAATTTCTCAATGACTTCGATTTAATTTAAAACTTAGACCAATCAAACTTTAATTACCTGTGCCATGTTACTTCAATTAATATATTTATTGGTGCGAAAAGTCTGACCATTAATTGCCTTTAAATTGAAGGAAAGCAAATATTTCATACAGTAATTAGGGTTAAGCGTATGTTAAAGTAAAATCTTTCTCACTTTGGTTATAAATGCAACTAAATGCCAGGCGCATTATTAACAAGCAAACCAAATATTTAAATATTTCAACGAACACAGGAACTGCCAGAGACGGATGAAAGGTGTGCTCGTTGAATGGAAACTGCTGCCTGCGAGTATTTCAAATGATTTGTCATGTCAGAGTGCAAACACTTCCGGCTGTAATGGTGACACACACACACACACACACAGGAATGGTAGTGATGGCGCCGGAAATGTCAGCCAACAATTTTCCACAACAACTATGGGGAAAAGTTCGCTGTGACTCTCTCTCTTCTAAATGGGAACAAGTTGCGCATTTGCCTTTTAATATTTATTGAGTTGCAGGTGCACAGCCCCCGCCTCTGGCCCGCGTCGTTGTTTGTTTTCAAAGTGCTTTTGTTACGCATTTAATATTACAATTTGCGAAACATTTATGCAAAGCAGATGGAGATGGATATGGGAGAGAGAGAGTGGTAGTCGTTCCATTGACTTTGTTAACCTTTTTGGGTCAATGAATAGATTTATAAAATACAGGGGCAAGATCAAAAAAGAACTTAGGTAGTAGAACTGGTAAATTATTTACAACTTAAAACTTATTTAATCTTTAAAAACAAAAATATATCAGATAATCTTTCTATAATATATATTTATTAAATATATTTAGTTAAAAATACTTTAGTTTTACTTTCATAAGTTAAGATTATCATCGCAGGTCATCCATGCTAAATATTTCTCAAATTTAACAAACCCTTTACAGGAGGCCTGTCAGAACTACATTCGCATCATGGTGGTGCCATCGCCGGGTCGACTTTTCGTTTGCGGCACCAACTCGTTCCGGCCCATGTGCAACACGTACATCATCAGCGACAGCAACTACACGCTGGAGGCCACAAAGAATGGACAGGCGGTTTGCCCCTACGATCCCCGTCACAACTCCACCTCTGTGCTGGCTGGTAAGTTAGAAATTTACCTATAAATTAAATGGATTAAAATGTGAAAATTGTTTAGGCTATAAGGTTACTGGATATTATATGTTAAAAATGATATTTTAAAGACAAAAGCTGTTTAAAGGCAACATTGCGTATGAGTGATATGGTTATATAGCAGCTATAAGGTATCCTCCACCTCTAGAAATACAATTTTAAATAATTGTCTACCGATTATATATTCCAACAGCAATTCACCCAAATTGTATTATTTTGAAGTCGAGAAAAGTAGTTGAAAAAACACTCATACGCCACGTTGGCCAACGAATTCTCTTGTTCTCTTTTGTAGCTATTTGCTTTTTTATTTTGTGACTTCTTCGCTATATTTTTTTTTTCCTGTTTTGTTACGCCATCCGAATAATTTATTGTACATTCGCATTTTGTATGCGAATTGTCCATTTTCCTCTGCCTGTTATCGCCATTCCCAATAAGAGAGAAAAATGCTGGGAATGTGACTGGAAGTAGACTCATCGCTGTGCTCCTCTGCCATATAAATCGGTTAAAAATTGTCATTCATCATGCAATGCCTGTGCGTTACCCATACCTATACATTTCTCTTTTTTTTCAGGTTCAGTTTTGACTTCGTGAATGGGCTGGGATGATAAATTTTTAGTATTATTGTTCGGCTGCCGAATGGGCAGACAACTGCAAATTATGTGCGAAATATATTTCTCCACTCTGCATAACTGATAAAAGATTTTCGAAATTTTCTTCGTACTCGATATTTGATTGAAATTTATGGCCCTTGGCAGGTGTGCTAAGTGGGTCGGTGGGTTGTGAAAGGAAAATCGTTGAAAATACCATCAGGGAATTTATTTAAATAGCGAAAAGAGCGTTAAGTTGGATAGATATTGTTGTTAGTGTGATAGCAGACCCAATGTTCTACACTTACTTCCAATATTTCGACTTCTTAGTTGCAAATTTCAGAAGTTCTCCTGCGTTGCATGTAGAATTCATTTTTATTTTTCACCCCTTGCATAACCCAGAAACTCAACCAATAAACAAGAGCATTTGGCGACTGCAGCTGTGGGTGGCCAAGCCAAGCCATCTCCACCTCCAACCACCCACATTCTCTGCCTCTGGCAAAGTCATAGTTTTGATAATATTTCCACTTGGCACCCATAAATCGACATTCTTTGCCGCCATGTTGTTGAAGTTTTCGCGCAGTGATTTGTTTGCATTTCATTGTCTGCAGCCAGCGGAAACTTTGCCAAGCGCGAGGGAGAGTGGCTCGGGAATAGATAATATCGATAAACGTTTATAACTAACTTGAAAGTGTGTGTGTGAGAGAGTGTGTTGTTGTTGTTGTTGGTCCATCGGCATGAGAGGGCACCAAGTGTTGCCACAAACTTCCGCCGGATGCAGCTGCCATCCTTGTGTGTGTGGCCCATATGTGTGAATCAATGTTAGTATGTGTGCGTGTGTGTGTGTGTGCTGGCAACTTGCCCACTTTTCCACGCTCGTGACCCCCGTGTTGGCCGTGATCCCCCGCAACACCCCCCGCCAATGTGGGTCATAAGAGTTTATCATCAACAAGCTGCCACATCCTGGCCAAAAAAGAAGCAGCCAAACCTGAAGCTGTTGTCAGCCGCCATTTTCTTTATTGCTTGCAGCCATTTATGCTTCCATTACTCTTCATCTTGCTAAAGGGTATATAGGTTTTGTGTATGGCTTGAGTTTAGAGTAGGGAGAAAGTACATAGCTTTCTTCAAAGATTGATATCCCATATGGGAAAATCTAAACAATTTTCCAGTTAGCTTCAAATTAGTTCCTGATTAATACTTTTTAAGGGAAATTCATGAACATTTTTTTGGCTCTTATTTCACTATCTTAGTTAATGTTTAATAACAACTTATCTCACCGCTCTTATAGTTTCCCTAAAACCGAGGTATTAACAAGCCTTAACCCCTCTCGTTAACCACTTTTTTGCCATCGTTTTCCCTGGGCCCTCTACTTTGTTCTTATTCCACTTTGATTTCCCTTCATGGTGCTAATATTAAATCGACATTTTTACATATAGCCCAGCTAACCCAGCGAGCTGCGTCTTTAGTCATTTGCTGGCTGTCAGTTTCGCCGGGGTTCGCCTTGCCAGGATTTAAGGATAGGCGACATGGATGTTTTTTGGGGGAACGGTTAGCCGGGCCATGTTGTTTAGATTACAAATTGCCCGGGACAGAGGCAGCCCAAAAAAAAAAAACCCCATCATGGGTGGTGCACTAAATAACAACAACAATGGCAGCGAGTCTAGAAAAGTTTCAACTCAAAAAATACAAAAAAAAAAATAGAAAGAAAAAAGTCGCCGAAAAAACCAGAACAAGCTGAAAAATGTTATCAATTCAGTTTTTATTCGTGACAGGGCGTTGATGTCATGGGTTGACGTGGGCGTGGTCGGTAACTGGCACAAAAGTTTTCCCCTCAGTTCCCGCTCCTCCTCCTCCTTATTCCTGTCCTGACCATTTCATAGCCGCTCTCCCTCTGTCCCGTATTTTGGCCGCAGTTTTCTAACGCTTTGCGCAAAAAGTTCGTGGACACATTTTTGTGCCAATTTCGTTGTAAAAATATTGTTGTAACCATGATGAAGTTTTCAATTGCTTTTTCCACCAATATATACGACATATAGCCAGGCGCAGCCAACCCAACCAGCCCGCCAACCGCCTTATCCTGTTCGCCTTTCCTGGTGTTTCAATATGGCGGAAGGAATCTATTTTTGTTCGATTTAAAAAGTGCATGCGAAATAAATTTCAATCGCTGACAGTGTCACCCATTCAGATCGGCCAGAGAGTACAAAACTTTCCCAATAAAAAATTAAATACACGAAAAAAGAAAAGAAAAACGGGAAGGAAAAAACGAAAGAAAAAGTTCCTCTGCAGAGAAAATGGGAAGAGGAAACACGTATTAGCTGGCTTTGTCGTTTAATTTGTTAAATGTTTTCATTGGGAATTAGGGTTTGGATGGGAATTGGAAATGACACAGTTGGCCATTATGTTCAGAAACTGGCCTTTTAAGGGGCCATGTTAAAATGTCCAGTACTAGCTATAACCAGAACTTTAACCAGAATCTATTTAAAGAGATACCATTATTCTAGCCCTTCTCTGGGCCTTCAAAAAGTTTCTTGTCAATATTTTACAAAATAATTTTGTGTTAACTCTCCCACTTTGCGGAAAATCGTTGCCCTGAATATTAAACTGGGCCCACGCAGATTTCCAAACCCTCCCTTCTTTGACCTTTTGTGGCACTTGAAAATATGGCTTAAATGTCTTACCAATTCGCACACGCCTCAGGAAACAATGCGAAGAATAGTAATAAATAATTTATAACTGCGCATTTGCCACATTAATCACGAGTCAACGCTGCTGCTGGCCAAAAAACACAAGAAAAAAAAGCAAAGAGGACAAAGAGGGGAAAATGGCCAAACAGCGCGTCCAAATCCCTTGCCGGAAAAGTTTGTCCCGTTCCCCAAAAAGCCGACGCATATTAATTTCGGCACACTCCACCCTCTTCTCACCCCTCTCGTTTCCTACGAATTTTCTCTCTGCACGTCCGTAAATTCTCAGGCACAGCGAAGCGTACAAATTGCCATCACTTGCGTTCAATTTTAGACTTTTCCAAGCAAATGCACAAACGCGATTAAAATGCTGACGAATGATGGGGAAAAAAGGGGAGGGTTAAGAGAGGACAGGAGGTCGGACATTGGCGCCACCGAAAAATGTCAAGGACTCGGCAGCAGGACATCGTGTAGTGTGTGTGTGTGTGTGTACCATGGAACCAGGGGAACACCGTTGCCAAACCGATCCAAGCTGCATTTGCATATCGCAAAAACCGCTTCAATTTCACACCACGTTGGCATTTTCATCCTTTACAGCCGCTTTGAACTCCAGCGACGATTAAATTTTCCGATTCTGAATAATTTATTTGCCAATTTTAAGGGCACCGTTCCCGTGAGGTAGTCAAATTTTAAGAGTCAAACAGGAAGTGTTAATGCCAATTATAGATTTTACGAACTGAACTTCCTTGATTTAAGTTTCTTTAATTATAAAATGTTTTTCCTCAAACTAGATAGTGAAAAGAAGGTTGTAATAGATATTTGAGAGGGAGAAATACAATCCCAAAATCTTTTCTCTTTACCTACAATGCAGTCTCAGCCAATTCCTGAAAATGCTTTTAATTTATTTATTTAATAATTAAGGACCATTTTTTCGCATCATTTGTTGCTGATGCTTTGGGTCGTTTGGATCTTGGAACCAACGATGCCAGAGCTCGTTAAAAGGCAAAGGAGAGCTAATTTATTTTAGCCAACTTAAATTGGCTTAAGCGAATGACCAGAAGAAAACAAATGGCGCGTTATCTGGTAACCAAAGCTGGCTAAAAGGGATGGCCCTGGTCAAAGTGCGGGTGCAATGCAAAATGATACAAAAAACTAAAACAAAAAACAACAACTGTCCGTTTCATTAAAAACAATGAAATCTACTAAGAGCCAAAAGTTTAAATGAGCGTCTAACAACTGCAAAGGATAAAAGGACACTCTCTCTTACACACACCCACATACACACACACACACCTAAAAGGCCACTCGAAAATCTCTTGAAAAAAGCCAGCCAAAAGCGTCTGCAGTAAAATATGTACTCGAAAACAAAGTCCAAACAATAAACCAAATGGCGGAAAAAGCATGGAAAAAAGGAAAACGTTGGCGAAAAACAAAATAAAGGCCCCAAACAAGACCAGCTTGTGACCCTTTTTAGCGGACAATGCGCGGACTTTTCTTGGTTTTTCTTCTATTCTTGGCCTAAGACAAAAAAAACCATTACAAGAAACAATTAGCTGCTGGAAATGAGGCCAACAGGACAGACCATCTTTCTTGGTTCCAAATCACTAGATCCTTGAAGTGGGCGGGGAAAGTTAAATATTTTTAATGACAATACTGGCTAGAGATGTTATAGCCTTAAGGTATTATGTTTAAGAAGTTGGTA